TGCGCTCAAAACCACTTCTTATCGCGCGAACGAATTTCCCCGCCAGGGCCACAGCGACACTGGGTATGCTATATCTCCGACGCGTACGTAGCAGCTGCTATAATTGCTGTTGGGAGCGATTGTGATGGTTTCTTTGGTTTCCTTGGTAAATGTGGCTCGGCGGCATCATGGCCCAAGCAAACCGGCATCCATGTCGAGCAACCTCGCTCGGGCGAGCGGAGAAGCAAGGAGAGATGGCGGCAGCCGCATGGAGCGCTCGCATCTGCCATCCGCGCTGGACAGGAGCTCTAGTGCCTGAAGGTGCGAACTCTATCACTTGAGCGCGGTCGGGGCGCGACGTTGGTTTCCTGGCAAGGAGCGCCTGGGCGCCCCATGCGGGGCCTTCAGCTCACTGAAATCCGAGGGTTGACCGCTGCTCGGCCTTCTGGCTTGAAGGGGCAACTGCCGGCGTCGAGTCCTCTGTCTCCGTTTCCGTCTCGTCGGTGTGGGCGCGAAGCTGAACGCTGCGGTCGGGTGCGCCGCATGCAGCCTGCAAAACCTTCGCATAAATATCGATGACCATCACCAGGTGTCCGTCCGGAGCCTGCTGCAGTGGAATGCGGGCGGCGCCTGCAGGCCATTGGAGCTGGATGTCGTCGCCGCTGGGTAAGATTAGCTCGCGTTGGTCCATGCCCAGGATTGCTGCGCAGACCAAGTAGGCCAGGCAGGCCGCTGCCTAGTCCTCTAACAGTGGGGGCTGTGAAGCAGTAGATGGTAGCTTGGCACTTCTTATCCGTCACGGTGGTGGGGGTGCACGCCTGATGGGTGAACCCGTGGGCCCGTTGCCTACTCCTCGGGTGCTTTAGGGCTTGCTCATGATGGGCTGCTGCGGCCTCTACGGCTCGGCGGCGCAACTGGTGCGCCAGTTTCTCGCCCGTGAGACTGAGGCGCGCGCCTGGGTCCAAGATGGCGCTGAGCCCACTGGAGACGGGCTGGGCGCAGCTGTGATACCCCTGCGCGGCGTACTCACTTGCTGCGCTGGTGGCGGGCCACCGCGGAGGCGCGCCGGCCCCACCGCCCTCGGGCGAGCCTCGGGGCGACGGCTGCCCCTGGGCGGTTGCAGGGGCGCTAAAGGTGATCGCGCCCATTGGCGCGTCTCGCGGCATAATCGGCATCTTGTCAACATCTGGCGGCGAATGAACTTCAGACGCTTCGCGGGGCGCGGTGTCAACCTGGATGTGCGTGGCCTCGCGCGCCGCCGAGCGCCGCCTGCAGGCTGTGCATTGTAGAAGGGGTGCTCGCGCCCGGTCGCCGTGAAGCGTTTGCTCTGCTGCTCGCGTCCAGGCGTTGTTGTGGCCGCGAGCGGCCGGGGCGTCGGCGCAGCTCCGATGGGGGCGGCAGTCGCGTTGGAGGACGACGGCGAGGTCTGAGTTGACGTGCTGGTCCATGTCGATGCCGCACATGTCGTCGATGTCTGCATCTAATCTTGCGATCTCTGTCTCGGCGCGCAGATCCGATGGGGGCGGCGGCGGCGTCGCATGTGGATTCCCGCCCGTGACCGTGTCGATCGTCTGCTGGGCGCGATTGCGTCGATGAGCACGTCGCTGTTCGTTCTGGGCGTCGCGGCCGGCCCCCCGTCTGCTCGCGGGAGACAATTGAATTTATATCTCGGGAGCCAGTGCGCGACGTTGGTCCTGATCGCTGCGGTTGGCGCTTCGTCTATGGGCTCACGTCCGCGGCGTTGATTGCCCAGCAGGGCAGCCTGTCCGAGCTGGCCTTGCCGGGGGCGTGCGAGTTGACCGCGGCCGCTGACTTGAGAGACGTCCGCGAGTTGGCCCGTCGGCAGGATGATGTCTCCTGCGCTGCAGTTCTGGTCGACGAGGTTCATCTCGCGTGGGCCCCGCAGAGCCCTTGTCCTCCGCGGCGCTCTGGCTGAAGGGCGAGCTCCGTCGGCGGCTGCCGCCAGCTCCGCGGCGGCGGTGGCCGCGCCGGGGAACGGCGGCTGCGCGGGGCATTTGCAGTGGTCCTGAAGTAGGCGTCGCAATATTGAACATCTGAGGTGGCGCACGCGCGGCCCTGGGTCGCGGCGAGCGAAGCTTCTGACCGCGAGCCGTCGACAAATTCAGGCCACTGCCAGGGGCCATCGACGGATGGCCGCGCTGGCGCAGCGTTGGAGCCCAGCTGCGGTTGAGGAGGGCCCTCAGTCATCGCGAAGGCAATTCCGAAGATTTCTGCCAGGGGGCCGCGGTCCAGGGTGCCACCTGCGGTTCCTGAGTCTGTGCGTCCTCCGAACTGATCGCCGCCGTTGCCCCGCGGCAACGACGCGGCGCCTCGCGGGCGCTCAGCGCGATGGCAGCATTCGCCCCCGCAAATGCTACGCGTCATGGCTGTCCCGCCGTAGCCTTGTGGATTGCGGCGTCTGCCATGCGCCTTGCCGGGCGCGCGTCACCTCTGATCTGTCTCTTCCCACCGAAGAATACCCGATCCACTCGAGTGTCCGATGTCTCCAAGAGAAATGCGCACTTTGGGCACCTTAGCCTTTGCAGTTGTATTTGTTCGGTTGTGGAGAAGGTGATGTTGTTCTTATTGACGATTGCCGCGCCCTGCGCGTAGGGCGATGCGTGCGCCTGCGGATCTGGCGTTTAGCTGAGTTCATCTGCCAGGACCACTGAGCATCTATTCGGGCATGGCTGAGACCCTGGAACCCTCGTGCTTGGTGGTTGACCTCTCCGCCTGGGCCCGAGCTCGTGTCTGCGGGCGTTCCACTGACGCGGTCGGGCCCGTCCGCGGACGCCCGCGCGGCGGCGGGACATGCTGCCCGTGGCGGCACGGCGCTTTGAGACGGGCCGGTAGCGAAATTGCGTCATGGCGCGCCGGCGGCGGGAAGCTCGGCGGCGCCGGCAGCCCAGGGGTCGAGGCCCTGGGTGTGCCAGGGGTCCGTGGCAAGTGCGTCTTGACTGTTGTCGTCGGTCATGCCGGCGAACCTCCGAACGATGGCGGCGATGGAAAGGCGCTGGCGATGCTGCGTGGTGCGCGCTCCACGATGTGGCGCGCGCGCGCCTGAGCATGGTCGTGAGACTGCTGAGCTCAGACTCTGTGGCTGGGTATCGATTGCCGTAGGGCTGGAGCAACGTCGCGAGTTGGCTAGCTGTCGCGCCGACCGCTCGGAGGGGCAGCCACCTGTCGCGCTCCCAAGACATCGCAGCTCCACCATTGTGCGTAGCTCGAAATCGCAGGGCGAGAAATCGCGCGAGCAGTGCATTGGTAGTTTCGTTGCGGTGCCTCGGGGACTCGAAGATCTCGCGGGTAGTCTGGAGGAGCGACTCCTCGCCCAGTTGACCGAACTGAGTGGCAAGGTTCGCGATAAGGTAGGTCACGGCGTCCTCTGCTGGCCGTTGACTCTGCCTCCCTCCGCCATCTCCGTGAAGCTCATGGAGCGCGTGATCGCGAGTGGCTCTACCGAGGTGGAAGATGACGGCAGCGCGATGTTGGGCGCTGTCCATGTCGGTGGCTAGCACGCTCCAGGGGGGGCAAGTCCTGTACCCAGTTGCGGAATGGATTTGCCGATTCGCGCTTGGGTGACCATGGGGGCGGCTGGCGGGAGGTGATCCCGCCGCAGCCGCCGCCGCCGACGCCCTGTGGGTCGGCTCCACCAGGCATCATGCAGGTGAGCTAGAAAAGGGCGACGACGAAAACATGAGGATGACGGTAGGACACCTCGATAACACTTCACCACAATGAAAGCTGCGGAGGCGCCTTGGGACTCAGGTCTGCGCAGGGACGGACGTCATGTCGGAGTCAAGGGCACCCGTAGTGTCGCTTGACAACCTTGGTCGAAACCAAGGGTGGTGAGACTGGTGCGGGAACCTTCAGTGCTCCACCCGAGTGGTGCGACGCGCTCGCAAGGACAGCCAGCACCGTCGCACACATGACGACACACGGTACTAGCCCAAAGAGGGGCCCCACACTCATGCTGGACGCGAAGCTGCGGCCAATACCTGTGGGGTTTGATGGGTCATAAGAGCGTCGTGGCATTTCATTGGGCGATTTGCTCCACTTTGCGTTGACGCCTTCAGCTGCTGTTGGCTTCGCGACCAGACCTGTATGTCTGGGGCGAAATAGTCGTATATTTGCAAAACAACCATGCTCACAAGCTGTTCGTGCAGCGGAGAAGGTACCAATGCGGACGCGAAAGGAATTGCGAAAGTGCGTCTACATCGCACTCTGCGCACGTTCCGTGGACGGCGAGCTGGGAAGCGCTCCCAACTCCGGTACCAAATTGAAATGTGGGGATTGGAAGCTGACAGAGATAAAACATTGCGGCGATAAGATCTAGATCACAAAGGCCATTTTGCTCTCAATGCAGTATATAGTACTCGCGCGGCGCTGGAGCCAAACGGCGACAGAACATCCGATTTGACTGACGAGGGGGAGGAGGAGGAGGAGGAGGCGGAGGAGGAGGAGGCCAAGGAGGAAGAGAAGGAAGAGGAGGAGGAGGAAGATAACTGATGGGGGACGGACGGATAAGAAAGGCGGGAGGAAGGAAGTTTCCCGAGATCCACCGTCGGGAAATCATCCAGGTATCGTAAAAGAAATCGCCCGCGATCCTCGTCCCTATCTTCCTGCCTCACGTCTTCGGCTGCACGCAAGAGTGACCCGTGGCAAAGGCGACCTTTGGTGCGCGGCTTGGGGTTGGCCCCCTGCGCCACCCGAAATCTGCGCACCAAAGCTCGCTCCGGCGGCGCAAGGTCACTGTCACGTGCAGCCGACCTTCTCGAGCCAGGTCGATCCGCGAGGGCCCCTAGGCACGAACGCAGGGTGAACTAACGCGCCGGACTTGATCTTTATCACGACGCCTGGATGTCGGGAGATGCCGCACTCCAGAATGGCTTCTGGGCTACAACTTGGGCCCCACGCGGCTGGCTTGGGACGACCCTGGGCGCTTCCAGAAGCCCGTCGACGAGGCGCAAGCTGTTGGAAGGCACCCCAAGGCCCAAGAGCCCCCTCGAGGACCTAGACAAATCCCTAGGGAAGGGGGGAGGGCGGGGACGGCCAGACGGCCAGGCGGGCGAGCTCTGCGCATGAGGTCGGCCCGCCACTCAGCCCCACGACGCGCTGAGAGCCGAGCTCCGCGTGCTGCCGTCGGCCCAGGAGGCCCACCGGTGGGTGGGCCCATGGTGTCTCGCCATCTTGCGGCGCGGCCGCCGCCGACGCCGCGCAGCCGCCAGCGCCGTCGTCGTCCTTGTCTTTATCGTCTTCGCTGCGACGTCGTTGTTTTCGTCGTCGTCGCCCCCCAGACCTTTAGCGACTCCAGGAGAGACGAGGGAGGAGGAGGAGGAGGAGGAGGAGGAGGAGGAGGAAGAGTGGGATGATGATAGTGATGGTGATGGTGATGGTGATGGTGATGGTGATGGTGATGGTGATGATGATGATGATGATGATGATGATGACGATGATGATGATGATGATGAGGAGGAGGAGGAGGAGGAGGAGCGAAGAGCAAAAGGACGCAACAATGGGAGGAGGAAAAGGAGCAAGGAGCAAGAGGAGTAATGAGGATCATGATAAGGATGAGGATGAGGATGGTGATCAGGAGGAGGAGGAGGCGGAGGAAGACGAGCGAGGAGCGAAGACATAATAACTATCCTGGCGAAGGACCTAATCATATCATATGCAACTGCGAATCTCGCGAGGCAAGTGAAACGAAAGAGGGGTGAGAGGAGGCTGCGAAACGGGTGAGGAGGGTGTACCGAAATTGGTGCGGCTGCGCCATGCGAACCCTCCCACTGGGGCCTTCGGTAGAGCCCCCATGTAGGGCCACGAAGCGTGCGATGGGTATGCCAAGATGGGTGCGGCGGCGCCATGCGAACCCTCCCGCTGAGGCCTTCGGTGGAGCTCCCTACGGGGCCACGAAGCGCTTGAGAGGCGCGACGAAATTGCTTTGGCGGAGCCATGCGAACCCTCCCGCTGGGGCCTTCGGTGGAACTCCCTATGGGGCCACGACACGTGTGAGGTGTACCGACATGTGTTCGGCGGCGCCATGCGAACCCTCACTGGGGTCTTCGATGGAGCTCCCTATCGGGCCACGCACCGCGTGAGGGGTGTGCCGAGATGGGTGCGGTGGCGCCATGTGAACCCTCCCGCTGGAGCCTTCGATTGGGCTGCCTATGGGGGCACGGCGCGTGTGAGAGGTGTGTTGGGATATGACTGACGATTGTGACAATGCTGATGCTTATGCCGATGAGGCTACGGATGTAGGCGATGGTACGGATGATGGTGATGCGGGGGATGCTGGTGCTGCGGTTGCTGATGATGATGGTGATGCTGATGATGGTGATGCTGCTAACGGTGGGGGTGGATGATGATGTTGCTGATGCTGATGTTGATGATGCTGATGATGCTGGTGCCGAGTTTGCTGATTATGCTGATGATGATGATGCTGATACTGATGTTGCTGATGCTGGCGGGCGATGATGATGGTGATGCTGATGGTGATGATAACGGTGGTCATGATGATGACGATGGTGACGAGGTTGGTGATGATGATGATGCTGATCATGACGACGATGATGATGGTGATGCTGATCATGCTGAGCATGATGATGCTAATGGTGGTGATGGTGATGATGATGTTGGTGGTGTTGATGATGCAGAGGAAGCAGAGTCAAAGCGAGGACCCACCACCACATGATGATTTCAATTAGAAGAATGCACCTGCGATGCTGAAATATCAAATTTATCCAGGCGACGGCCGCAACCATATGCAGTTGCGAATACCCCATTGTGAGTACCGCGTTCGGTGTAGCTCCCTATGGTGCCACGAAGCGCACGAGGGGTGATCCGTCATGGGCGGGGGAAACGCATTCGACCGCGGCCAGGGGCTTTCGGTGAAGCTCCTTACGGGGCCACGAAGCGTCCTACTGGGTGGGGGTTGGGGCGCGCATGCGAACTTTGCCACTGGGTCCCCCGGTGAAGCTCCCTTTGGAGCCACGAAGCGCTGTACTGGGTTGGGGCGTTGGGGGCATGCGGCTACGACCACTGGGGCCTTCAAGGAAATCTCTAGGGGGGCACGAAGTGCCGTACCGGGTGGGGGGGTGGGGGCATGGGGTCGCGGCCATTGGGGCCTCCAGTTGGGCTCTCTATGGGGCCACGCAGTGCTGTGGGTGGGGGAGACGCATGCGGCCGCAGCCACTGGGGCCTTCGGTTGTGCTCCCTATGGGGACACGAAGCGCTGCAATGAGTGGCGCGGACGCATGCAAACTTTGCCATTGGGGCATCCGGTTGAGCTCCCTATGGGGTGCAAAACACTGTACTGGGTGGGTGGTTGGGGGACGCATGCGAAAAACTGCCACTGAGGCCTTCGGCGGGGCTGCCTATGGGGACACAAGCGCTGCACGGGGTGGCGCGGACGCATGCGAACTTTGCCACTGAAGCCTTCGGTGCGGCTCCCCATGGGGCCATGAAGCGCTGCACTGAGTGGCGCGGACGTATGCGGCCGCGACCACTGGGGCCTTCCGTGGAGTTCCTTATGGGCCGCGAGGCGCGGCGCGAACGCTTGCGATTTTTGCCACTGGATCCTTCGGAGGACCCCCCCCTAGGGCCACGAAACGCTGCTGTACTGGTTGGTGTGGAGTGGGGTGATGGGGCCAGGGGTGGCGGGGGGCGCATGCGAACTTTGCCACTGGGGCCTTCGGTGGCGCGTCCTATGGGGCCGCGAAGCGCTGTTTGGGCCGTTGGTGGGGCTCCCCATGGGGCCACGAAGCACTGTATTCGGTCGGGGTGTGGGGGGGTGGGGGGCACGTGCGAACTTTGCCACTGGGGCCTTCGAATGGGCTCCCCATGGGGTCACGAGGCGTTGTAATGTGTGGAGGACGCATGCGAATTTGCCACTTGAGCTTTCGGTGGGGTCCCCCATGGGGCCACGAAGCGCTCTACTGGAAGGGGGGGCGCATGCGAGCTTTGCCGCTGGGGCCTTAGATGGGGCTCCTTACGGGGCCACGAATCGCCGTACTGGGTGGGGAAGGCGCGTGTAAACTTTGTAAATGTCGCCTTCGGTGGGGCGCCCTGTGGGGCCACGCGACGCTGTACTGGGGGGGGGCGCATGCGAACTTTGCCAGTGGGGCCTTCGGTGAAGCTGCCTCTGGGGCCACGAAGCACTGTACTGGTTTGGGGGGACACGCATGCGAGCTTCGCCACAGAGGCTTTCTGTTGGGGCCCCCACGGGGTCACGAGGCGTGTGAGATGTGTGTCCGACTGGTCGAATGATGCACGGGGCAAGCATGAGGAGGGGGACGCGGGGGCGGGGGAGGAGGGAGAGAGACGCGTGGCGCTCTCTTCTCAACGAGGACCCAACACCACAGGATGGTTGGGAGTACTTGTTCGGCGCGCATATCTACATATGTGCATCTCACTACGGTCACGTCTCGCTGGAGAACCCTGTCTCCGAGCATATGGGTGTGAGAGCGAGTCCGCGTAGACGACAAACGCGACAACGAGACGACAGCGACGAATTCAGTGACGTCCTCCTCCTCTAGACAATTTCCAGGAGAGGTGACGGGGCCACCACGGGAAGAGCGAGGGGGGGATTCCTCTTGCTGCCGTTCTCACTGCGACAACCCATGCGAAAACACATGGCGTGTCTACGCCCGTCCTCTGGCGTGCTGCTCGCGGCTCCTGCTGACATTTGCGGTGCTGTCAGGTGTCACGCATGCTATATCGCGGTGGCCATCTGTGTGTGAGCCTTTGTGTGAGTGCATCGGGGGGTGAATGGCCTGCGTGTGAGTGTGAGTGTGAGTGAATCCGGGTATGATTGAGCCTGGATGTGAATGAATCTGCTTATACTGGGTCTGTGTACGGGTGGGTCTGAGTATGAGTGAGCCTGAGAATGAGTGGGTCTGAGTGCGAGCTGGTCTGAGTGCGAGTGAATATCAGTGTGGGTGAGTCTCATTATTACTATGATGAGTATGCGTCTGAGAATGAGTGAGCCTGAATACGAATGAGTCGGAATATGGATGAATCTGAGGGTGGGCTCGTCTGGATGTGAGTGAATCTAAGCGCGAGTTAGACCGGGCGTGGGTCAGTCCGAGCTTGGGTGGGTTCGAGTACGAATAAGTTCAAGTATGAGTAAGTATGAATACGAATGAGTCTGATTGTAGAGCCTGAATGTAATGAGCGAACCTGAGTCATGGAAACGCGCTGATGAGTAAGACTGAATGTGAATGTGAACGTCTGGGTGAGGAAGAGGAGAAAGTGAATGATTGAGTGAGTCAGGAGCACACATGTCCAAAGAGAGGCCTTCTGGGCCGAAGGAAACAAACAGCCTGAGACATCCGAGAATCTGGGCGCGACTCCTGGAGTGTCCCCCGCCTCCCCCTTAGGGCGCCCAAGTGCCACGCCTGCCATATCGCGGTGGGCAGTGGACCACTGGATAAAGGAAGTCAGGGAGGCAGAAACAGGCACACTGCCTGAGACATCCCCACGAACTGGGCGCGACTCCCAGAGTGTCCCCACCCCTGGCTGCTCCCCTTTGGGGTGCGGTGAGCAGTAGACCACCAAAAGAACAAGTCTGGGGGGCAGACACAGGCGAGCCGCCTGAGACATCCCCACAATCTGGGAGCGAACGGGCCCGTGCAATAGCTTCCGGCGGCTCCCCCACTGGGGTGCCAACGTGCCAGATCGCGGTGAGCAGTGGACCACCACAAGAAATAAATCTGAGGGGCCAGACGCAGGCAAACCGCCTGAGACGTGCCCTGTGGGGTGCCCAAGTGCCACGAATGCTGTATCACTGTGGGCAGTTAGCTATCAAACATCGGGGCGGCATGAAACAGGCCAGCCGCCTGAGACATCCCCACCAATCTGGACGCGAGCAGGCCCGTGCAAGACCTGCAGTCGGCTCCCCAGGCGGGGCGCCCCAATGCCACGCCTGCTATATCGCGGTGAGGAGTGGAGCACCAAAAGAGAAGAAGAACTCTGGGAGGCCGGACACCAGAAAACCGCCAGAGACTTCCCTGCAACCCGGGCGCGAACGGGCCTGTGCGATACACCCCGGCGGCTGCCCCTCGGGGTGCCCGAGCGCCGCGCCTCCAGGTCAAGGAGAGCAGTGGAGGAACCACAAGAGAAACCTCTGGGGGCCAGACACAGGCCAGCCGCCTGAGGCATCCTCAATCTGGGGTGGCTGCCCTTTGGGGTG